TAGTAGAGTCAGTGACAAAAGCGCCGCTTGCGCATACACGATTGACTCTCCATTCCCCCCTCCCCCGTTTTCACCTACAACGCACACACACACAAACACACACCATTAGTAGAGGTGTCAGGCGACGTGAGAAAAGGTTTTGAGCATCTAAAGGCTGCCAGGCCCCGCGTTTTGTAAGTGTAAGCATGACGTGGCCCCCCTAAACCATGATGTGGTCACGTGACAAATATCCCCGTTAAGTTCAGCGGTGAAATCGACATCGCAGTCTCAAGTCGTTGTGTGGCGTCATGCCATGACGTCACGTGGCTTCAATTTTCCCTTTCAATTTAGGGGATAAATTTACGACCCGCCATCTGACGTCACTGTGTGAAGTTGTGGTGTCACATGACCACATAAATCAGTGACGTTGCATCAGTGACGTTAACGTCCTCGCTAAAAACAGCGGGGAGGCGCACGGACGGACGAACACATATCCTTTGGCTAAGCATTTTATGATTATTGATTATGATTTTATGATTTATAATTTATTATGGCGACAACGACATTTCTGCCAGTCCTACCGGCAGAGGACTTATGTCATCGAAACGGGGCGTCATCAGGCGTGCTGGGTGGGGCATTTAGTTTTTGTTAATAAAACCACTGCGCAGGTCCGTTGGTTGTAAAGTGAGACAATGAATCGAGTTCGATAGGGAACGGGGATGTATATATCGGGCCACGCCCTGCAGTTTCTATCCTGTCGGTAATTGTAGTAAAATGCATGTGCCCCCCCCCCCCCCAAAAAAAAAAGAAAAAAAGAAAAGTCAATAATTACAATTATTTTACCGAAAACGTTATGGCCTACCGTTGCAAGTCGCTAGCCGTAAGAAGGAATCTAATAATTTATTGTTACTTACACGATTACTCTATCGATATTGCAAACAAACGCAAGATACATGCAATGTCGGGTAGTTTTTTTTAGGATGGGATTTAATGCCTCGTCAAAAATAAAACAAGTAAGAATATACTCAAAACTATGTATTCTTTATTTTTTCTTAATATTTGGAGAAAAAATTGTAAGAAATACGAATCTACCTGGTCTAGTTTTTGAGATAAATAACTATTTTGCTTTGAAACCGATACAGCATTCAATTAGATCGGCATAGGGGAAATACACTTTGGCGTTTCATTTACATTTACAAACGGTGGTGGAGGCGTTCGAAATAATCCAACTTCAGCGTCGACGAAATGAAAAATACAGTTTCCTTGAAGGTGTGTATTCGTACTTTCTGATGCATGTTGTCAATAATAATTAATACTTGTATTAATTAAAACTGCCATGGCGGTGAAAGCAAGATGCATTTACGTGTGGGTTCGTTCCGAAGATCGGTGCTCGGTGATGGTTGCTATGCGATCGGAGGACCCATTTAAACTTCCCTGTAGCTCACTAAACTCACAAAAAAAAAAAGTGCTTCACACAAAGAATGAATGGGCTAGCTTACAGTTAAACTATGCCGTTTAGGAATTATCTAGAAGTTTTGTTGTCTGGGATAAACAGGTATCCACGTCTATCGCAGCTTCACAGTGTTCGATGTGGGAAAAGGGCAAGCTTTCAACATGGAGTCAGGCACGCAAAAAGCCCTTTATTCACTTCTTCCTCTTCCCTCGTGTCGGCCAAACCGATACGAGAGGTGAATTACCTCACACATCTCCCCTACTAAGTCTCACACCAACAACCAATCACACAGCTCCCCTCCTAAGTCTCAAAACAAACACTCACACTTTTCTCCCTCTAAGTCACACCTGCATCGTTCATTGTTCTTGATACCTCTTTGGTGCTCGAACACATCTTCCACTTTTTGTGTGAGCGTGGCCGCCATCGGCGCAATGAGGTCCAGCCTCTGGTGAATCAGCACCGTCTTCTTGCACATTCTCGGGTTGGGTAGGGGAGATGTGTGAGGGGGGTAGGGGAGATGTGTGAGGTAATTCACCTCTCGTATCGGTTTGGCCGACACGAGGGAAGAGGAAGAGGTGAATAAAGGGCTTTTTGCGTGCCTGACTCCATGTTGAAAGCTTGCCCTTTTCCCACATCGAACACACAGCTCCCGTATTCTTCCTCTGGTCCAGTGCGCTTGCCACACACTGCTTATTTTCGGAAAAGTCAGGGCGTCTTCCCTTGCCCAAGCTCACGAGGACCCGACTTACAACTTGAACTTCCTCCAAGTTTTTAATTTCAAATTATTTAGGGCGCTTCTTCAAACGCCGTTGGGGACCATTTGATTGAATGAAACAAGGAACGACAGCAGTGAATGTGGTTTCCTGCCATAATCTTTAACGTCCTCATCGCCCACAACGTTTCTTTAGATAGTCATAAATGAGGCTTAACTCTATTTCGGGCCGTAGTATGCACCGTAGCCAAAATAAAACTTCTAGTCGGTGACATTTTCAAACTTTTTCTCACTTTCCAAAACGAGGAACATGCGCCTGCTGGGCTGCGAAGATTGCTCGCTGGGTTGTAATATTCAGAACATTAGTATGGTGTGCAATTGTATACTTCTGATTGAACCAAGTTCTTTTATTGATAGCATGTAGTGTTTTTAATTTTTTTTAATTGGGTAAGATAACCTATCTTTCGTTCGTCTCAAAAATTGCGATCTCCATTGGGCATGATGTTTCGCCTGTGAAGTTTCCTAGAGGGAGTCATATTTCTCGGTTCAAGCGTATTTAGTGCTTCGTCGCTTGTAAACTCTCCGAAGACCACCGACACAAAGCTACCTTTAACACAGTGTTTGGAGATCCCAGTCGCTGTAGAGGTGTTTCGGCGTAATGACGGGAAGTTCGGTGGCGCCACATGCTATATGTGAAGGAATTTTTCTTGTACTTGCCACCTGTAGAGCAAACCGATTGGCTTTCCAAATGCTCCGTATGAGGAACTCTGAAAAATTAAACTTTTTAAGGGGCAGCAGTAGGGTCATTCGGTTTCTCTGCACCAACTTACACCGGCGAAGAAAAAAAAAGGTATCGCGGTATGAAAAGTGCAGAGGATTGTACTTTTTGTAAATGTTGTAAGGTATGCTACACTCGTAAATTTAATATGGAGATGTGAGGCCGGTGCTGTTGGTGCAGGAGGTGTAGCTATATCATACGTAGCAAGAAAGTGATTGTGTATACATCCTTCCATCGCATCACCACGGCACCAACTCGGCGATTGAACTCGAGCCCGACGGCGAGTGTGCTTTTATCCGCTGAGTGGACACGGATCTTAGCCGAACGATGACGCATCATTCGTGTCCAATCACAGCCCGCGCTGAATCGCAGTGCGATGTCGTCAACATTTGAGAGCACAGACCTCCCGTCTAGCTGGTGTTGCAATAAACGGAAACCGAAGCTCGTAATTTTTTTTTTTTTTGTGGTTTTAAGGAACATTAACGTGTTTAAGAATAGCGAGCGAGAAGATTTGCGTACGCAAATAAATATTGGGGACGACACTAATTTTTTGCGTGCGCAAAGCTTTTGCGTATACGCTACTCTAAGGCTTGCTGAGAGCTCGTTCCCGTAAGCTGAAAGCGCAGGCAGTATAAAACAAAGTACGTTGCGTTTTTTTTTTTTTGTTTTTTTTTTTGTTTACGAGGAAGTGCTGGAGTTGAATACTGCGGAAGTGTTCAACGCTGAGGAAGCTTGAATGCTTCCGCGGCATTCAACTCACACAAATAATGTTCCCGTAAATTTTCGGGAACAAGGTGTACTTCCGTATTAACAAACATGTGCCAATATCTCTTTTCACATCCCCTGTGCGTCCAGTGAAATAGTTTTATAAAAAAATGCGGTGAGAACAAAATTAAAAATTTAGGCGACTTAATTGTGGAGATTACCAGCTCAGGTGTGTCTATTGGTGTGGTGATTGAATTCTGAAGTAAATCGGCGACCATTATAGAACCCCCGCAGCTCCCATCACACACTTCCGGTTTTGAGCTAGACAATATTTTGCAGTATTCGCTACATGAAATCTACAAGGTGCTATCTCAAAATTTCAAAAGCCAACTCTACAATAAATAAATAAATAAGTAATGTATATTTCATTCAAAGAGAACCCCTTGTGTAGCACTACAGCGCTTCAGCTCTTTTGCTACCATTAGAAAGCTCCTCGACAGACATTTTCTAAGCGTGCCTACCATGTTCTGCGATTCGCACTAGGTTGCGTTCGCGGTTTCAAAACGGCGACCGTTCATACGTGAGAATTGCCTGCTCTGTTCCGTATGAGCCGTGCCCTGCCCTGCCCTGTTCGGCGAAGTTAACAACCTCCTGAATAGTAACCCGACGATTCTTTTGCATAATCAGTTTCCAAATTATGCGAAACGTTTTAAAGGTTGTGTTTCCAGGAGCTTTCCCCGATCTTCCTTCGTCTTCTGATGGTGTTATGCCGTTCTTGAGGGACGAGTGCCACTCAAAACCCTTCGCACGACTCATTGCTTTTTGATCAAAAGCTTTCCGAATTATTTCAAAGATATTTTTTTTAGATTTTCCATGTTCAGCGCAGAATCACATGTTTGCTCTTTACTTATTTGCTCTGGTTTCCGATCCACGCTAAAATCCTCAATATGCTCGTGCCCGTGGTCACGAAGATTCGTGCAGCGCGGCTCCAAATATACACAGAACGACGCCCCCTGGTGCTATGACAAATGAAAGTCACTACCCATGTAACACTGAGAGAAGGGCCGAAGGCTGGACATATTCCCATAGCTGAGTAAACTAGTTTTGGAACATTTTGACGGAACCTGGCATGTCCTATATTCGAGAAATTGTCGCATATAATATTGCCAGAACTGTTTCACACCTAGGTTGAAAGAATGATGCTTATCATATTATTAAATATACGCAGACCGGAAGTGTGCCAGCACTGTCCGATTAATAGCATGACCAAACTTGTTGGAAAAAAAAAAAGGAAGAGGAGGGGGGGGGGGGGGGGGGGGAGGAGGGGGCGTATCCTGCGGACTGCGATTCCCAAAGGAGTCGGCGCCAATGAATATGGCAGTGAAGGCACTAGGCCGAGTTTATTGTAGATTAAACAGAAGTAGAAACGAAAAAAAAAGTTAGGATATAAAATATCTTTGTTCATTAACGGTATATAAGTACCATATATTTGTTAAGAAAACACCTACACAGAGATTCTACAGACACAAGTATAACTTGTAAATATGACATCAAAGTAATCATCGTCACCAGTGCGGCAAGCTCGTAGCAAATACGGGTACAGAAGGCACCTCCCTACAGGTGCTGCGAAAGCGATGCGTCTCATTTGCGAAGCCCCTAACGGAAGTCGGAAGAGGGGTGCGGGGCTCGGGAAGCGTCTCCCGCCATCGCGTCCTAGGTAACGAGGCCTTGGTGCTGAATTTCGTCACCAAACGGAGGCCAGGGCGGAGTACAGATTGAACGTGAGTGCTGGGTCAGTGTTCGGCAGGGACCAGTGTACCATTGAGGACACGAGACTCAGCCGGACGGAGACATAACACTTGTGTCTAATCAGTGCTCCGCGTTGGCTTACTATGGATGACGTAGTGAGGGCAGCACTAAGGCCTTGTTATATAGGAGGTGTTGGGCCCCTGCCCCGAAGATTCAGTTCAGTTGAAATGCATGTCCACGAAGTGCTGGCGGTCCTTGAAGGTGGGACCCCAGGGGTTCCGTGGTTGGTCGGTCTTCTTCTGGTCGGTGGAGCTGTTGTTCTTGAAAGGGGACTGGGGGTCCTTGGAGAACGACTTGAAGCCGGACATCTTGCGGCTTTCGGCTTCGAAATTCGCCTTTCTGAAATCAGAAGGAAAAGAAGGGGAGAAACATCTTAATATGGATGTATAGCCCCACAGCAGTGAACAGGAGGTGCCTCGGTTGACTGAAGAAATTGTACATGTTCCGTTCAGTTACTCTAGGTTGGCTGCAAATACGCGCAGCTGGTGGTAAGGAAAGGTCACGCCACCGAACGGCTGGACACAAGCGCTGCGTCAGAGTTGGGAACGGAGCTCGGGCGTTTAAGCACGAGATCGGGTCGAATGGCTGCTTCCGGGACTTCCTAGGCCCTATTAGTCAGAGCTGGAAATGGCACTACCTAGCTCTAAATAAGGGATAGAACGCTAACGCAACGCTGCATAAGTGCAAAGTTACTTTAAAGTTAGCACTGCATGAGAGCTGTGCCTAAACTTCGTTTCCTCTTAGGATCGACAGCGTGAAGACGCTACGAACTACCAAAGTCAATCAAAAGTCGCACGCGAGTCACATGACCTTTGGGAGGAGCACAGGTACAAGCGCGGGCTGCGAAGTCACGTGACACGCTCACAGCGCTAGATTGGCTATGATTAGGGTGTGTACTTTCCGGTGTTTATTTGTGAGAAAAATCGGCGGATGTTTTTCGGTGTTTATTTATTTTCAAAACACCGGTGTATTTCGGTGGAACGTCTCACGACAAGGCTAAAATCGGTGATTATCGGTGGAAAAAAAATGCGATTGATCACAGGCAGAGAGTTCCAATTTTATTCACATATTTCATACACTTCTTTTTTAGGGAGAATCTATTTCTCACACTTGGTTATTATAGTAGATGCAAGCATACTTTGAGAGGCTTGCACCCGTCATGGCAGCAGGTTCCTTGCGGTTCACAACCCACAATTATGAAAACGCACGCTCCTCTATGACACAGACGTTGGCAGTGTTTTCCAGGAACCACAGCAACCTCTGAATGCATGGCTTGCACCGACATCACTTGGCCAGACACAATGGGAAAGGGCACGAGAGAGCCTACCCTCCACCGCGTTAATTGTTCCACAAAAGGGGGCCATGGGAGACACAATAGGGGAAAGGCGTGTGAGAGCTTAGCTTCCACTGCGTTCACTAAACGCTTTTGACTCCCAGAAAGGAGGGCGGACTGACGCCATGTGCAAGCCATGTATAGACCTTTGCAAAAAGAGCTCTCTGGCCGCCGCCATTTTGCGAATCGAGCGACCCCTATCAGCCAGAAATTTCTGGCACCCGCCTGAGCTGTGGAAACCCGGTCAGCGTGACTCCCCACTTGCATTTTGCATTCGGAGTTCGCCGGCTTTTCTTGGAAGTTTTTACTTTATTCGCCTGTTTAGGATGCTTACCCTTTGTATGTTATCTTCCACTGTGAGAACCAGAGAATACCAGGGCTCGTAGCCTGCTCGGCCTTCGCAGGAAACGAACCAAGAAAGCGAACGTCAAGCAGCCTGCGACGCAGGCAGTTCGACGTTCTTGGAGGATTATTTCCCTTGAGATAATCTCCAAAAAGCCTTCCCGGCTGTGTTCCGGGTCTTCGCGAAAAATAGCTGATAGGGTCGGGTCCGGGGTGTGGGGACAGAATAGACACGTTCATTCATTTGCTTTGACGAAGCTGTGCAAAAAGCTGCTCTCTTCTACATGTTCCCCAAAACACGCCGGGTTCCGTCCGATTCTCGTGAAGTGTCTATCGTCGACACTGTATATTGGATATGCTGTGTTATTTGAGACCTTTCTCAAATCCTGTTCGGATAACGCGGCACCGTGGGGTACGTACAATATATGTTGTTCGATTGATGAGACTCATTGAATTTCATGTTGTGGGCGGGGAATATCCATGCAGTTCGGATATCCTGTGTGGTCAAATATTTTGACCTATATAAATTGACACGGCTGAGTGTACGGTGTCGTAAAACGATGAACATAAAATGAAACAAAGATTCCAGTTGCATTTGTTCTGTCGCGCACGGACTCACCAAAACAGCTTTCATATCTTTGTTTTGGTTCCCAAAAATAGAGCACTGCTTCCTTGAAGACCTCTATAAATTATGTTCGCCACAGAACACAAAATAAAAAAGAAAACGCGTCAATTCAGCCGCTACCGGCGTCCGGAATTGCGCCTACGCAGGCTGCCACAGCTCACTGACGAGAAACTCCACAGCTCAGCGCAGTCGGGCAACGCTGACGTATACTCTCAAAACCAGGGACGCGCGCTGTAAATCGCTTCGTTCGAGACTGCCGCTGGAAAGGTCTATAAACACTGGAGGGATGCAGGATCCACGAGATAAGACGTTTGACGAACCTCTACGGGGATGTTTAGGGGTTAAAAGCGCTAAAAACGACGGACGAGTTGGAGAGACACACACCACAGAGCGCTACTTGTAACTGGTTTATTATTGGAAAAACCACACGGTACCGTGTGGTTTTTCCAACTAGTCAACCAACTAGCCCAAATCCAAACCCTTCTGCTCTACGGGGAAAAGGTTTCGCTAGGTCGGAATCATGCCACGACCGGTGTTTTTCGGTTTTAACCAGAACGAAAAAAGCCAACCACCGGTGTTTTTCGGTTTTAACCGATTTTATATTTTCGTCACCGACGGATGATTATCGGTGTTTTTCGGTTAAAACCGGAAAATACACACCCTAGCTATGATGGCACGTACCGTCCACTGCGGTCCATTGTAAGGTGCGGCGGAGTATATATACTGCTGCTATGTATGTCTGAACCGACATTCAAAATTAAAAGCTATTCTGCGTAAGATGGCGCTACCTGTTCAACAGATCTTCATTGCTCGGTGGTTATGGTGGAAACATGAATAAACGGATTCATCTAGAGCCCGAGATTGTGTCACGAAAAGTGAAAAATAAAGATAAGCAAATAATTTTTTTAATTATCTCCTGGATGTACGTTAGAGTAGAAGTGGCGGAAATGTACATTTTGAAGCCACGAATATTCCCAAGATCCTTCCTTTTCAGCGGCGACTAATGAACGTAAGCTTTTAAGACAATGTAAAAACTCGTTGCCATTTTTAATTTTATTGACATTTTAAAATTTTTTATTCGTTTTATTTTACTATTGTACTTCAAGATTAATATATTATAAACAAAACTAGAATTTAAATCTGCAAATAACACGGTCCCATCCAACGACCGTGTGTTTTGCATTGCTCTATTATGACGCAGCGTCCTTCGTGAGATGATGAATTCTTAAGAACAATATCCACGAACCAATATAATGAAGTTTTATTTGCCCCAAACTTTCATTGAACAGAATAAAGAAAAAATTTTCCAAATTTTAGATTTCGTCTTTTAATAAACGTGGAGCTCGCGCATTAGTAGCACCCCTTTTTTCTCTCTCTTCTCTCTCCCTCTCTCTCTCTGTCTCTCTTATATGAAAAAATTGTGTTCTCAAGACACCTAAGTGTACGTCTGAGAAATTGAGAAAAAAAATGCAAATAGGCTCAACCAAAAATAATAAATGTGCTACGCTCGAAGTATTCAGCAGCCCATTCTCGGATTACCTTGCGGGCGCCGCCATTTTGGAGCTTAGCGCGGAGTGGGCGCACCTGGCGACAGTTACGATAAAAATGGAACCGCCGCCACCCGCGAACAGAGATTTGTTTACTTCCCACGCGGGGAAATCTGCTTCCACTTTCGGGAGCTGGCCTCCGCTTGCCGCCAAAGGGAAAGACAAGACATCGGGCGCCTCCGAAGGACGCTTCGGGTGACCGCGCCGCCAATTCCCTGAGCTCTTTCGGCTAGCCCCTTCGGCCATCCCTACACTAGGGTTGTTCTGGCATCTCTGAAGGACTGGAAAAAGGTTTTTTCGCGATATCAGATCCGCATAGTGGTTTTACGCGGAACGTACGAGCGAAGGTATACGGTGCCCTGAACGCGTCTCGGACCAATGTGTTTAGCGCCCTTGATCGCCAATGCTTCGATATATAATCCCGACCCGAAGTGGCGACAAATGACGTCACAAAAGCCGGAGTGTCATGCTGTCGGATGTCGCGATCCTGGCGGTTGGGCGTAGAAGTTTTGGAAACAAAATAAGCAGAAGAGGATGCGAGTTTCGCTGTCGGTGGCGTTCAAAATCCCGGCTGCTGAAGCTTCCGTGGACTGCCAGGGTAGAGAGCGACCTGCAGCTGAACACGCGTCTTAAGTCCACTTCCTCTGCTGTGTGGCACAGCAGAGGAATCGCGGACGGCAACAGCGGGAAGTTTTTATGACGTCATTGGGCAAAAAAAGGACTACATCTAAGACCGCGGCAAAATACACCAATCGCAAACGCGCTCCAGTCTCCAAAAAAAAAAAAAAGACGCAAACGAGACATTTGGGCAGAAAAACCGCTTACCGTTGGGGAATGGCAGGAGATTCGCCGGGGCGCATGATGAGGGGAATTTGGAACGGACGACCAAATGGACGAAAGCTTCGCACCACTCCTAGGGAGAGGCTCACTGCTGCAGCACGGCTGAGGACGACTCTTCGACGCACACCTTCACAGAAGGCAGATGTTCCTCGGAAGCTAGTTGACTAGCCGGGGCCGATTCTGCGAGAGACGGGGAAAAGGGGCTACGGGTCAGCTCCCAACGCGCCACTCTGCGTCGGGAAACAATGTGACTGATGCGAGCCAGCAAGATCACTCTCTTTTGCACCGTACGTCTGCACTTCTCTCAGGCTGTGATCACAGTTCTAACGCGCCATACGAAACACAGTCCACGGACACTTTCTGAGGAGTAATTTTCTCCTTTATATGATTCGCGGAATTTTAAAGGCGGTCCACCAAAGCGATTCAAAACAAGTCAATGAACAGAATATTTGCTCAACATTAATTACACACGTATCATTAAATATATATATATATATATAAAGAAACTGCACATTGAAAACTACAAAACATGTCTCCGTTGAGCAATATAATAAATGCGAGTATGCTACAACATTAAAATCATCCACAAGACAGTGGCCTTTTAAATAAAAGGAACAAAAAAGAGAGAATCTGTCACACTTCAACATCAACAAACCAATGAAAAAAAATATACACGAAAAGTAAAGCGCCTGTATACATCATATAGCTCACACAGAAGGAATAAAAACACTGAAATGGACGAGTTTCAGAGTCTTCGCAGTCGTTATCGACAACGGAGCTGGAATTCCAGGCGCCAGAGTTATCACAAAAAAAGCCTCCTTCACTTTTCTTCTCCCTCTAGAGGGAATTAAATTCAGCTATCTTTACCTTTATCTTTTTCTACGTAGTATCTTTTTTCTACTATTTTCGTTTTTCTTGATTTCCTCTGTGACGAAAGTGGTTTTCGTAGCGCGATGAGCATCATATAAATATGTCGTTGCTCGTTGAAACAACTGTGAGTGTCTGTCCTTCGTCCATTTCAATGTTTTTATTCTTTTAGTGTGAACTAGAGTTTATCCAACGCGCTCTGCTACGTGTACTTATACACAAAAAATATACTTTTTACTGAATGCCTGACAATGGAAATAGTCACACTCTAGCTCTACGTCTTCCATCATCGTGTTTTTTTGTGTGTGTGTGTGTGTTATCTGTGAGATTAGTTACGTTTGCCAGCTTGTTATTCTGTCGCAACAGACATGACAGAGATGTTGAAAACGCTCACTGCCTCCTTCTTTCGGGCAAACATTTTCAATCCGGAAGACCAGACGAACTTTGATTTTTCTATGTTCGGTGGTTCCGTCACACTAGTCGTACAAAACCCGTCTGAAAACGTGTTCGAAGATGTATCGAGCAAACATCTCTTCGAACCAGCTCGTCTGCAGAGAGTTTTGTCATTTTGCCTGCAGCGAGCACCGTGCCCTCTTCTGTATAATGTAGGAGCAATGTGACGGCGGCTTCGTGCACGCGAAAGTTCGTCTGCTTTTTGCACAGGGGTGGCGGTGACGTCAGAATGACGAGCTCTGATTGGCTCTCTGATTGGCTCTGATTTATTTATTTAAATGCTCTCAAGGTCAATCGGCATTAAAGAGGGGAGTGGGAGTAACAAAATAACACACAAAAAGAAACAAAAGGGCAGAGTACATAACATATCATGGCGGCTCAGGACAGTAAAGAGTGTTTACAGCATTTTTAAACATTTGGGTATCAATAATATAAATTACGGAAGTCGGAAGGTGATTCCATTCCAAAGAAGTTTTAGGGACGAATAATAGTACAAATTCCAACTTTGAGGTGATGATCGACGCGAGGTGAAATGGAGAACGGTGGATGAAAAGACGTTGCTTTAAGTACGGGTTAGCATGATAGATCTTGTGAAAAAGACATAAACGAGCAACTTTTCGTCGGAGAGAGAGGTTAGGCAGGGACAAGGTAGAGCTCAATGCTAGCTTCCCTCAGGTCTACCCACTACCTTTCCAATCGGAACTAATCGGACCTCGACGTTCTGAAGTCACCGCAACCCCTGCGCAAAAAACAGACCACCTTGCGCTCGGCATTGAAGTTCGCTGTTTCAGGAGCGATTTGGAAACACGCTTCTATTTCGGGGTCGACGTCTCAAAATAGATGCATATTTCAGAGTCGCGACTTACTGAAAATGTGTCTCGCTACCTAACCATCCCGTTAATGTTGGTGTCGGTTTTTTTCTATGCGTTTCCAGAAAAAGCTTTTTTTTTTTTTTGTCCTTATTTGTTTAACTTTGGCATTTAAAAAAATGCTTTTATAAAGCTCTCTGTCTCTTCAGTCTGCTTCTTTAGACTTCCGGGTTTTTTTCTGTTTATTTTTTTTAGTTTGGGTGGGAGGCGAGGGGGGGGGGGGGGGGTTGCGCTTGCGCAGCGCCTACAGCCGGTGTGGACCAACCCGAACTTGTTTGTAAACATCATGCTTGTCTGTAAACAGTTCGACGTTTTATGCGCTCGATGAAGTCTGCTTTATGGTTGCCGGCTGCAGGAAAAGTGCTAGATTCAGGGCGAGAACATTGATGTCCGAGGGCTGGATTCCTACGTCATCGTTTTGTGACTAGGCAAAACGTTATTGATAGCGTCTACATGCTCCCGCGTTTCATCCACACGCGTATTTTGTTCTCGGAATATATGTGTTACCCCACCTCCCCGGGGCTTCTCGGCTATGGTCACGCGGAAATCGACTTCCGGTTTGGTCTCCTATAGTTCTGCCCAGAGCCTTTTATAAAAGGCTCTGGTTCTGCCAAGTTCTTGGCGGCCATTGTGCTATGTGCTGCCCTCTCCGGATCCCTCTTGCTGACTAATTTTATGCCAGATTAATTTGACCGATTTTGGCGCTTGTCTGAGGTGTTCTCTTATCAGTTTCTTCCTCGCTTACTGCTTTACACGAATATTATGGGCGACGAGATGTTTCGGTGGCGCTACTTCGCGGGCGCTCTCATGTGACGTAGCGAGGGTGATTCGAACAGGCGACGCGCTAAGCAATCGCGTGCAGTGAAGATGTTAGTTCGAATTTGTGACAATTGATAAGTGTTGATATAGTGAACACAAACAAAAAAGAATCACGTCTTCATAAACTTTTTTTTTTTTTTTACTGAGTTACTGCGTCTCCAAGCCACTTCTGACGTGCACAATCTTTAAACTGTTCAAAAACAAGCCTGGAACGTGACACGACAGCTTTTGCGAGGGCTTGCGCCACGGCCTTTTTTAACCCTTGTTCTGTTGAATGTACGGAGGCTTCTGTAGTAAAAATTGGTTTGCAATCATAAGAGTGTAGCACGTGCTCTCATCTTACGAGTGCACTTGAGTGGTGTTGCATTTCTTGGCGCCACACATTTACTTTTGCTAATGAAGCTTGCAGATACCGACGCTTCCGCCCTATTGCGGTTCGGCAGTTGTTGGATGGAATTCGCACGTCACCGTGGGGGCCAAGACTAAGTGATTTTACTTTAGCAGTGGCGCTTTTGGTCCCTCGCACCAAATGTGTGGCAAAGTAGTTTGCCACATTGCGACTTCTGCTCAAAGGAACAGCTGAAATTTATATAATTTCATAAATTGCCGAGCTTGGCCTGACAGACAAAGTTAATTGATTAATTTGTTTTATCCAGTCTTTACGAAGGATTGATGACATATTTGAATACTCTCGCTGCGAAGTGCACCACAGATTTTTCAAAATTCTTGGAGTCAGCAAAAACAAACACACATAAACGGTCGTAATTCATAGCATAGAAATTTATGCTTCGCTGACGTTGATGTGTCAACGACTTTCTAGGTATTACTGGTCTTGATCGCGGAGGTGATTTTGCACTTTTCGGGCGGACTAGCGATTAAGCACTCATTTAGTTAAAACGACATCGGGAGCCAGCAGCCGCCCCTTTTATCAAGTTTTTCCTGAGAACCATTTGCTGACTGCTCTGCAAAATCCGAAAAGGCATCAACTTGGAAGTACTAAGTGACCACTACTTACCAAGCAAAATGCAACCAACAGGCTACACAAAATAACTTTCATTTAAGTGTTAAATACACACGCGAGAGGGGCTGCACTTCTGATTGTCCATTTTCAACTTGATGAGCCTCTTCAGTTTTTCTAGCGCAGAAAATACTAAAAATTACAGCCAGCCTGTTCACCCTGGTAGTGGTTGTAATGAAGTAAAACGTTGGATATTCTATTTTTATTATCGAGCGCTTTAGTACTGGTGAAGAGTTTGCCACCATCCTGTCGCTTCTACACGTTAGCAAAATAAGTGCTTGCTTAGCATGACGACGCGTGCCACGCATGGCAACATTTCATACCAGGAATATCACATCCAAAATAAGCACAATTCGTGAAACAAGTGTCGACACGTTACCCACACAACGCACGAAGAGAGCTGACGAGCCGACGAATCTGAGCCGCATGCTCAGTTTCTTGTACCCGGTCACAAACGATGATTCTGATAGCCAGCGAAGCACCCCTGTAGTTCGCGCACGCCGCCAGTGGTGTCAAGTGTTCTTGTAAAAATTCTTACGCGGAAAATAACATCCTCCATGAACCACGCAACCATCAACACCACCAGCGTTATTATCACGCCTTGCGCGAGCTGAGTGGATCAGTTTGAATCTGAACGTCAACGCGCGTAGTCGCCACATTAAAGGGATGCTGAACGAACACTGTAGCTGAACCAAACATTTCAGTGTGGGAGATCAGTGGACGAGTGGGCTAACGCACACGTACTAGCGCACACCAGCTCGGAGCACGTGGAGCAAAAGCTCGCGCTGCAGAACTCAGGGACCCTTGGTTCAATCCCCATTTCTGCTCGTTTCGATCTGGATGAGCATCGTACCGGCGTGCGGTCGTGTATCACTACTGCGTGGTGCTCGTTAAAGACCCCAGGCTAGTGGTTGTACTGCACTGGCTAAATTGCTCATCTACAGAGAGTGACTCGTCGCAACTTTGAAATGGCTGACCAACTACACGCTGTATAAATATCCACACAATACCAATTATTATTGTTCATTTCAGGGTCTATAATAAGTGGCGCACGATCTTTCCACGAGCCAGCAGCCGCCGGTGTGCGCGAGCACGCGCAACGAAATTGACGTCATAATCCCCCATTCGCGCTTACGATGAGAGTGAAATGTGTG